TTAAAAAAAAAAAAAAAAAAAAAAAAAAACTCCCTTCAATCAAACGGCCTCTAATATAGATATATAATTAGATTATGGTATCCAATATATTGAGTACTATCAAAAATTGGTTTAATTTGCATAGTTGAAGATAGGCATGTACATTCAATCCGACAACCCAACAACCCAGACCAACTCAACCTAAACTATAAGGGTTGGGTTAAGTTGGATTAGCTTTTCGGGTTGGTTTTGGTTCATTTTTTTTGAACCCGAATTGACTCAGTTCGATTTTGGGTTTATAGGACAAAACCCTCAAATTAACCCGAGTCATAAAAATATATAAAATATACTAAGAAATTTTCATTAATGATGGGTTTGCAAAAGTGGTACTTCAAGTTCGACCCCAATCAAATACATTAATTTATTATTATTATTTTTATTTTATTATAAAATATCTTAATATTTTATTTTATTATTTTTAATTTTTTATAAAAATATTTTAAAAATACATGAATAAATTAAGATATAATTTGTTTCTAACCAACAATTATAATATTAATTATAATTTTTATATATATTTAGGTTATTTTTTAAAAACATAGTTTAGGATAGATTTATTAATTATAATTTATATATATATTTAGGTTATTTCGGTTCATTTTTACTTTTTCATCTATCATCTTTTTCACTGGATTTGGTAGAAAGTAAATAAATTTAAATACCAACTTTTTCTAAAATCGTTTCAGTGTTTACTATAGCAGATTTTTTTTATTATTATTTTAAGAATTCTTTAACACCTAAAATAGTAGACACAAAATTGGATCGATAAAAAAAAAATAGTTTCAATTGAAAGATTTTGTTAGTGGATTAAATTTTTTTAAAAAAATAATTTTTTTTAACAACTCCAACCCAACCCGAAAATAGAGTTGTGAAAATTTTTGGGTTCCGATTGGGTTACTAATCTAACCCTTCCGAACTTTTGTGTTGGGTCAAAAAATCTCTCAACCTAATTCAACCCGAACTATGTACCCGTAGTTGAGGAAGAGTGCAATTATTGTGTGCCGTTGATTTTTACATTAAATGATTTTACGTAATTTTAATCTTTGTTTAGTTCTAATTTTCATTCATTGTGCATCTCTCTTAGAAATGTAATTATAATTGTTTTATAATTATGTATTTTTTTATATTATTTTTTTGGATAATAATATATATATAATTACAAAATTAAATATTCAAATCTCTCTACTATATTTTATTGGACTAAAAAAAAAACATCTTCTCCAACGTTATTTTATATATTGGAATATTTGATGTCGAGATCGAAAAAAAAAGCAAACGTTAATTAATTTCTAAAAGAGTAATAATAATCGTTATATAACGAGTCCAAATAATTTTTGAAGTCGAGTTGAGTTAAAAATTCTTGGAAATTTGTATATTTAAAAAATTATTTACGCTCGGTCTCTTTTCCCGATGAACTATATAGCCAAGAGAAATCACGAACCAAAATCGAAGAAGCTATAGCATGACAAGAACAACCTTAAATCTCGAGATTGAGAAGATAGAGTTTATCATCTAATTTGGCCATGAAATCACTACTAAAAAAAAGAAAACCGTGTCAAAGCACACGTGACCCATATGAGTGAGATATTGTGTTTATGATCGTAATCTCTCTTTTTATAAAACGGTAATATTTCATCGATTAAATAAAATTACAAAATGATAATTTTTTCTCTAGCACGCGTTCTAGAATGACTTATGAAATCAACTCCATGGACTACCCATGATCCACTCGACTAGAAGAAACCTCCCTCGTGGTGGAAGATCGAATCATCAAGTAACACACAACCACGACATATTATTTTTAAAAAATAATGCTATTAATTAAATTAGACTAAATTCATTGAATTATTAATATATATATATATATATATATATTTTTTTTCTCTTAAATGAGTTTCCGTTGTCGGTAGAATTTCTGACACTAAAAAATGACAGGTTATTTTTAACTGTCAGCTGTTAGATTTCTGACAGACTCAGAAATGGCAGGTAAAGACATTAGAACATAGTTTTGTATAACCAGGTAGGGTTATTAGATTTGGCCCATAGAATTGTCATTATTTATTTTCTCTCAAATGAATTTCCACGTCAGCTTTACGTTTCAATTTATGGATGAAAGAGTTATATGACTTGTGTCACACGTTCTAGGTATCTTTTTTTTTTTTAAATATCACGTGTCAAGTAAAAACATCATAACATAGTTTAGCCCATAAAATTGTCAGCGTTTTTTGTTTTTGTTTTTCTCTCAAATGAGTTTCCACGTCAGCTCACGTCTTAATTTATAGAAAAAAGAGTTATATGACTTGTGTCACACGTTCTCAGTATCTTTTTTTATTTTTTATTTTTTAAATATCACGTGTTCAAGTAAAGACATCATAACATAGTTTAGCCCATAAAATTGCCAGCGTTTTTGTTTTAGTTTTTCTCTCAAATGAGTTTTCACGTCAGTTCACGTCTTAATTTATCGAAAAAAGAGTTATATGACACACATCACACGTTCAAGGTATTTTTGATGGGTCATGCATTCAAATAAAGACATCCGAACGACATTTCATATAACTAGACACGTTCAAATTGTTAGCGTTTTTTTCTATCAATATTTTGGCACGTTCAAATTTATGGATCAAATAATCATATGATTCATGTTTGTCCAATTTTTTTTTTTGGCGTGTAACGTTTTTAGTAAGGACATTAAACCAAATTTTATTTATTTTTAATAATTATTAAGAGGAAGGTAAAACGTTTACATGCCTTAAATGGATTAGAAATTAGAGCTTTGAAAATTGGGCTATAATTTAAAAAAAATAATTTAAAGAAATAAAAGACAAAAAATTTAAAAACCTCATTAAAATAACTTCTATAAAATTAGGAAATTGTTATAAATTTAGAAAAATAAAATTACAATTTAACCCTCTATCATTAAATATTTGTTTCTCTTTATTAAATTAATAATAAAAAAAAATAATAATAATAAAGTAATTTTTCCAATTAAAAAGTTATTTATAAATAAATAAAAAATTTAATTAAATATTAAATAAATAAATGCCAAATGTCTGGTAGAAATTTTGGATGTGAGAGAGAGTACACACATTTCTGGCCGTTGGATGAGTTCTATTGACACGTGGCAACAGTGAAGCCAGATCAGAAAAATATCCCATGGAATCTTCGATTTTAATTTCAAAAGAATCTTCGGAAATGTACGATATGCCAGTCACTAATAAAAAAAGATATTTTTTTATTTGGCGGCACACTCGCTCCTTGGCGCGTACATTTCACGCCGAATATGGACCATTGGTTTTTTCATTTCTAGAAAAATAAATAAATATAAATAATTGCAAACTCCCCCTCGTGGCCTTGTGTTGGTTAATTATTTTCATTTAATTTTATTTAAAATTAACTCAACATTATCAAATAATTTTAATTTTTTTATAGAAACTTATTCGTTATTATCTATTTGATTATCATAATTTTTCCCTCTAATTTATATACATTATATTTAAATAATTTTAAGTGAAAATTATCCATAAATAATTTTAAATATATGATTTAAATTATTATTATAATAATTAATTTAAGGTTTTAATCGATACTCTAAATTTTTTAAGTTAAAAATATGCTTTATCACTTAAATATAATTTTTTAATTAATTAAATTAGACACGTACGTTAGTATTAATATAATATTTATTAACGTAGTTACATATAAATGAGTAAATAATTCATTAAAATTATTCTTTAGAATATTTCATAGGTTTTTAATTTTTTATTTTGAAAGTTATTTTTTTCTCTCAAATTTTTAACAATAATCTTAATTTTTAGTCCATTCCCAAAAAAGAAAAAAAATATAATTATATTAAAAAGGGTTTAATATATATAATAATATTATAAATTCAATTAAATTATATGTATAATATAATATATATTGAAAATAAAAATTAGATAATTTTTTATAAATAAAATATGTTTATAAATTAATTAATAATACGACTCGTTTATAAATATATTTTGAATTATTATTTAAAATAAGACAAAAAAAAAAAAAAATGTTAAACACTCGAGAGTTTAAGCGCGTGAGGGAGAAGGGAAGAGTATAAAATATGAAAGAATGAGGGAAAAGAGATACAGATTTAGACCCCTAACTGTCCTCAAAACCTCTGGCCTTCTTGTCTTTGTATAAGAAGACTCCACCGCCGCCCACCGCCCACCGCCCACCGCCGCCGTACTCCCTGGCCGGCGGAAGTGAGACCACCACCGTTTCGCTTCTTCCACTGCATTTGTAGCTGGAGATTATCCTTCTCTTCAGGATTCTTGAACTTCTCCGGGCAAATACTCTCTCTCTGCCATTCGTTCTGTTAGAGGTTTCTTTCAATGGCTACGTTTTATCTCTCTACGGGAGTGCCACTACTGAAATCTGATTCTACCAGAGTTGCTGACCACCTTGCATCGTGTAGAAACGTTTCTGATGCGTTTGGTATTGAAGCGAAGACTGGAAGGATGTATGTGCAATCGAAACAAATCGCTTTGATTAGATGCTCGAGAATAGCCGAGAAGCAGGATGTTGCGTCGTATAAAGGCTCTCTGGACACTGTGAGTTTAATTTCTTTATGTTCTGTTCTGTTTGTTTTTTCTGATGCTTATTTGAGGCTTGTTTTTGGCTGATGTTGATACTTTTCTCTGTTTTGTTCTGGAGATTTACTGGCTCTTGTACATGCATCGAGTTTTATGGATATTATGAGATTGATGTGTTTTCCTCAGTTTCATTTCGTGAAATATTTTTGGAATAGCGCTGGAAAAATAAATGAATCTTAGATTCTGGAGTCTGATGCTGTTTATTCTCATATTTCTTTTTTCCAGTAAAACTAAAATATGATGTTGTGTTCTTTCTTATTGTGATGTTTGATGCATCACGGTTCTAAGAGTGAGATTTTTATTTGGTTCAGGATCAGGACATTTCGAACTCTACCCTTGATCATCAATCTAATGGATTCCCTCTTAGTAGGATGAAGTTAACCACGAAATCTAGAAGGAAAACTAAGATAGTCTGCACCATTGGTCCTTCCACAAGTTCACGTGAAATGATATGGAAATTGGCAGAGATGGGTATGAATGTGGCACGTTTAAACATGTCCCATGGTGATCATTCTACCCACCAGAAAACCATTGATTTGGTTAAGGAATATAACGCACAATTTAAAGACAAAGTTATAGCCATTATGCTTGACACAAAGGTATGTTTTCTAACTTCTATATGTTTATTGAACGCTGGATTATAACTACTACAGACGGGACCGATGTTTAAAACTTCATATTGATTTTAAACTCTTAACCATCCGATATTTGAATTAAATGGTTGTGCAAGTTTCTTGAACTTATTATTCATACGTGTGCTCTCATATATTAGTGAGATTTCTTTGTTGAAGTTTAATCTCAAACTTGATCTTTTATAGAAATGATCACCATTGTTGAATCCATTTGCCCACTGGTACAAAAGATTTAGTTGTATCTCAATCTTCAGTTTATATCTCTCTATTCTACCTTTTGAATTAATGATCTATGCTCTTGGTATTATAATTACTGCATCATACTTCTATTTGTTTCATTCAGGGCCCTGAGGTTCGAAGTGGAGATGTACCTAAACCAATCTTGCTCAAAGATGGACAAGAATTTAACTTCACAATCAAAAGAGGAGTCAGCACAGAAGACACTGTTAGTGTTAACTATGACGACTTTATAAATGATGTAGAAGTTGGCGATAGTGTGCTTGTTGATGGTGAGTATATTTCTCCTGTTTGTTTCACATTGGTGCTGACAATGTATGATACAACCTTTCTCAATCAGTGACTTGTTTTATGTTATTGTCAGCTCATGTAGCGTAGATTAATTCTTGAATAAGATTCTTGGAGACAATTTTTATTAATACTGAGCCTCAATACAGCCAATGGTCTAATTTATATAGGCTATTAGGCAGCTTATTAAACACAACAGTAAATGAATACTAAACTTACAGTAACCCAACTTACGAACAGTGGCAAAACTCTTAAAACAGAGTTTAATCTTCCTAAATTAACTTTTAAAAGACAACAGGGCCGAAGGTATTAAAGATCTGGACATCTTTTATTCATGCAGTTTTCTGCTTATCAAATGCATAACCCAATTTAGACCTTTACTTTTGAACAGACGAATAAAATCTTCATTCTGTGTACAATTTAACTTGCCATTCAATTGCATTGAAAGTTGATATATGAGGCTCCAAGATTAAGATGAGGGCATGCACTTGGGCACGCTCAAACAGATATGCTTAAATATCTTGAAGTTTTGATCAAATGTTGTATATGGTTGACTAGTTGAAATAAAGTCCAGTTATTTATGGTTTTTAGCTGATGAGTTATAGAATTACAGTTGCCTATTCTAGTGTCTCAAAACTAAATTTCTTTTTCATACTCTAGGTGGAATGATGTCATTGACTGTTAAGTCGAAGACAAATGATTTGGTTAAGTGTGTAGTCGTTGATGGCGGCGAACTCAAATCAAGGCGCCATTTGAATGTTCGTGGAAAAAGTGCGACATTGCCTTCTATAACAGGTATGTTCAGTATTTAACATCAATGTTGCATTTATAGAATTTAGGTTAAATTGCAATTCTAGTCTTTTTACTTAGACACCTTTAATGCCTGTATTCCTTTATTTTCATTTTAGTCTTCATACTTTTATAAACATATCAGCTTTAGTCCCTAACATTATTATCTTGTTAAAGAGTTACATAGATTGGCATGTTACAGTGTAGTTGTAGTGATAACTTGGTATGTTGTATGGTTGTATATGCACAAAAAGTGGACGTGGCAACATCTCAGTATTCACGTGATGCTATATCAGCATTTTGTTAATATTTAAATGGATATTGACTCGAGGGACTGAATTGGTACGTCCATAGAACATGTACCAAAATGCAACAATTAAAAGGATAGATACCAAAATGTTAAAAGTGGTAAAGTACGAGGACCATATGTATAATATAGCCTAGAATTTAGTATCATCTATACACATTTATATGTATTGTCAACTTTTAATCTTTGAAATCTTTCGTGGTGCAGACAAGGACTGGGATGATATAAAGTTTGGGGTGGATAATCAGGTTGATTTTTATGCTGTTTCTTTTGTAAAGGATGCTAGAGTGGTCCATGAGCTGAAAGACTATCTGAAAAGTACATATTTGTATATATTAATGTTCATTGCCTATTCCCATTTGAGGACATCTATGCTTCATCTCATGCTCATAAGAAATAAATGTATATTTTTTGCAGGCTGTAATGCAGATATTCATGTGATTGTAAAAATTGAAAGTGCAGACTCAATACCTAATCTTCATTCAATACTTTCAGCATCAGATGGGGTTAGCTTTCTACTTCCTTGGTTCAATAATTCTAATAAAATATTTCAATATACATCACCATTAGAACACCAATGAGATTTCGTGTGGGTTATAATTGATTGGTGGCTATCACCATATTGTTTACAAACATCATCTCATAGTAAATGAACCAAAGTTCATTTTTATTTTTTGTTTATCATGAACATTTTCGACTATGTGACTGTGAAATTGATAAAATTGTTTAAATGACCAAAAATATTTTATCAAATGTTAATACGCTATTAAAAGGAAAGAAATGGATGATGGTCAACCTGTGGCACACCACCATCAATGTTTTTAAAGGCTATAAGTGGCTTCAAAGCTTTCTCTTAGTAGATTCAAGAGAAAAGTCGAGACATTACCTTGAGCAATATGAGAAACAAGGCTTAATTTAAATAGAAATCATATAATTTAAAGGCTTGTTTAGGAACTATTTTCCTAAGCGTGCTTTCATGAATGGTTTCCTTTTTAGATTAATCAAAGTTACTATTCCCTATGGTTTTGATGAAATTTTCTGTTTCTTATTTTAAAAAAAAAAAAAACAAAAAAAGTGGAAAGAACAAAGAAAAAAATAACACTGAAGATATTAAAAAGAAAAGGACTCACGACACACTCCCACAATGAAAATGAGCGGAGCTTTCTTTTTGGAAAGGATCAAGTCTACTGAAAACGATGAAACATGGATTGACATTTTTATTAACTTAGACTACTTAAGAGTGTTATATGCGACTATGTTTACATACACTAGAGAATTGTAATTGTATTACTCTTGCCAACTATTTTCAAGTGATATAGATTTGAACTTATGCATGATGATTTCTGGCTACAAGTTAGGCTTTCTATTACATTCTCAAGGAACATTTATCTATTCATATATGTTAATATGTTCTTGGCTTGCTTTTGTTTCGCATGTTACTGTTCACGCTCATCGTCGGGTTCTGAGTTGAAACTAATTAGTTTATTTGACTTTTTAGGCAATGGTAGCTCGTGGAGACCTTGGGGCTGAACTTCCAATCGAGGAAGTTCCTTTATTGCAGGTAAAACTCTATGGTTACTAGTACTCTATCAACCATCACCCTTCCATTTTGCAACATTAGTTCCAGTTCCAGATTAACCTTTTTAGTTACATGATTTGTGTCTCGACATAGAAAAGACTAGAATTGGCATTGATCATAAATCAATTATAATTTTACAGAATTTTGAAAAGAATACACCAGTTAGAAGCCAAAGCTAGCTTCCAAACATCCTTGAGATCTTTTGCATTATAGCTTCTCTCTCTGCCCCATCTCACAAAAACACCTTTGACAGCTGGACCAGAGAGTAAATTATTTTTCTTTGAATATCTAAGTTCGCAAAGTCATTGGAGTTATGGTTCTCCACTATTATGCCAAAAACACTAATGCAAATTGAAGAAACCTAGCTGGGGCATAATCGGTTTGGTTTGGCTAGGTTTGAGTGTCAAACCGTGAACCACCAAGTATTTGAAAAAAAATCGAAGAATAGAACTGCTAAATGAATCTAAACAAACCGCCCTGAACCAATCGCCAACGTTAGTTAGTTTGGTCTGGCGGTTCCCCATTTACTTAAATCCCAGGTGTTAGGGTTGGGTCAGGTCGGATTGAAGGTGGGTAGGGGTTATTTGGGACGACTTTGCGTTGTTGGGTGGGAGGCAGCCACAAACAGGTTATTTTGGCTGGACTTTGCACTATTGGGTTGCTGGGAGTTGCTGGGCCACCTGTCTTGTGTAAATAATTGAAATGGAAATAGTTAACTGTGTTTCACGAAACTTGAATGCATGTCACCAGCGATGGTGGAGAGATTCGAAGCCACTGGGTTGCTAATACAAACTATGAATTTTTATGTAGATAGTACTGGTAGGCTCGGATACATTTGGTTGGTTTTTTTCAAAAGGAGAAACCAACAGAATATAATAGGTTTATTTATAACTGCCAAACCAAACTAATGGCAGTTTCGGTCGGTTTGCGTGGTTTTTTCAATTTTTTGGTTTTCACTTCCACCCCTAAACCTAGCAGCTTAATCCAAACATGACAGATAAATTGGGGGGGGGGGGATTATTTGCTTGCAATGGCGACTGTTTGCCTTTAATTAGAAGTAGAAGGGCTCCGTTTACCCGACAAGAATTGGGCACAAAACGCGGAGGTAGTAAGTAGAAAGTGAGCCTTTTTTTGTGTATACGCAATTTGAGTTCCAATTAGCTCATGGACTGCCTCTTCAACCCTGGCGAGTATGAGAGTTTGGCAAGAGAGAATGACGAATGAGAAATACATCTGATTACGACCCATTTATTGACGAATTTTTCTTCGGAAGAGAGATAAAAGAAAATTCTTATGATTAATATGCTAGTTGGGGAAATGTGATCTATAGGAAGATTAATATTGAATTCAACTAACGAATTGATGGAACGAGCAAAAAATGAACCCAAGAGTGTTTTGAACTATTTTTAAAATATAGGAGTAAATTTCGTAATTTTGGAAATACATGTTTGTAGCTTATGTATCCTTCCTTTATATTTATTAAAACTTTTTGAGGAGAGAAATTGCATCGTCTTGTAGTCCGATGGAAATTGCAATTTTTGAGTTAAGTTTATGTAATTTCTAGAGGGTTGGAATTGGACAACGAAGGAAGGATGAGGCTCTTATAATGCACCTCATTAGAGAATTTAGCGAAATAGTCATATCTTCATCGATGAAGTGCATCCTTTTGATATTTTCTTAGATCATGTTATTTTCAGTACGATATCTTGGTGTAAATTGCCTATTTCTTCTTACAGCTTTGACTCTCTTTTGTCCAATTGGAGATGTCTTTTTTAACTCACTTGGATTGGGATTTATTTTCCTTCTGGTGTAATTTCATTCATCAATGAAGTTGTTTATAAAAAAATGTGTCAACAAAACCTTGAATTCACTGCTTGATTCCAAAGTTTAAGATTGTTGGTTTTCATGAAGTGCAATGACTTCTACTTTTTAAATGTTAATACACGAAGATAGGAATTCATCTATTTCCAAATTGTTGAAGTTTCTTTGAAAAGGTATTAGTTCGGAATTAAATAAATTGGTGCTAGAGATATGACACTGAGCATTTAATACTCCAAGGAAATAAAGAATCGTTATTTAATTTTTTCAGTAAGAAACAAAGCTTCCATTTGTTACCGAAACTAAAAGTAATGTAGGCAAGGACTGTAAAGTTAATAGGATAATAGGACTAACATTCTATCATATTACATCATATAATAGTACTTCACATTGCTTGTCTGTCAGGAAACTATTATCAAAAGGTGTCAGAGCATGCAGAAAACAGTTATTGTAGCAACAAACATGCTGGAAAGCATGATTGATCATCCCACACCAACTAGAGCTGAGGTTTCTGATATTTCTATTGCAGTACGAGAAGGTGCTGATGCAATCATGCTTTCAGGAGAAACTGCTCATGGAAAGTATGTATCTTAGTCCATTATCTGGGCGGGTTTTTTTTTTTGGCAGTATTTTTGTACATGATTTGAATGAACTCAAAACTAACTTCATTCTGTTGGGACCTATTGGTGGGGAACAAGGTGCTTTGATCTTTCAACAACGTATAAGGATGTTTTTGTTTCTTTTCTTGTTGTAAATGCGTTTTGCAAATATTGAAATATGCCATATCCCGTTTGCATTATTATGCTTATGTTCGTTTTTCTTATTTGATTGGAGTTGATGAAAAATTTCTGTCATTCTTGAACTCGCATCATCATACCAGCTTTTTATGTCTACTAGTTTTGCAATTGAGCTTCAAGTTATTGACTTATTGCTAAACATTGAAGAAGTTCAGGCTGTTTTCTGTTTGTTGATGCCATAAAAATTACCTCCTCTTTTTCCCTTATTGTCTTCATTTTTATATTAAATTGATCTTTTGATTCATAATGGCAAAAATATTAGGTATCCATTGAAGGCTGTGAACGTGATGCACACCGTGGCTTTGAGGATGGAATCTAGTCTTCCAGTTAATTCTACTACTCCAAATCCATTGAGTGTCCACAAGGTTTGTATTATTATCAGTAACATATAAGTTGTCTTATAAATGTTTTTTTGCCCTCTCTTTTTTTCCATATTTATGTTTTCTTAGTCCGCATATGTTCCTTCTATGATGTTGTTGGGACATGGGATGAAGGCAATTGTTCTGCCTAAATGGGTTAAAATTCTTCTCATAACACCTAATTTGAATCTAGATCATAAGAACTTATCTATTTTTTCACAAAATCTGATGTATTCGTCATATTCTGACAGAGACATATGGGAGACATGCTTGCTTTCCATACCACCACTATGGCCAACACCCTTAAGACTCCTATCATCGTTTTCACGAGAACTGGCTCCATGGCTATACTCTTGAGTCATTACAGGCCCTGCTCTACTATCTTTGCCTTCACTGACGAGTAAGTTCAGAAGTAGTGTTATATATTGCAATTTCCTTGAATTTCATGTTTGATCATGATATTTACTTCACTTCAATTTATGCAGTTTGTTGATTCAGGTCAACTTTATATGTGTGACGACAAGTATGAATTGTTTGTGTTGAAAATGTAGAGTTTGCTATTGATTTATATGTGAACTTTTTTTTGTAATTATGATTTGTGGCATATTTTTGCCAATTGGGAGGCCTTTCTGTACTCCTCTGGCTTTGTGGGATACCACGTTCCCCATCTTTTGTGCATGCTTCTTGGATCAATATATCTTCAGTTTGTTATATAAAAATAAAAAAAATAAAAAATAAAAAAAAAGAAGAAATATTAGTTGTAGTTGAATAGTAGCTTTCTGGATCCAGGATAGATATCGTCTATGCATCTGTAACTCCAGATAGGGATAAAACAATGCAAGGTGCATGACTTACTGCCCGGTCTAAATCTTAGATTACCCTTGAGAATGGCTAGTTATTTAACATGCCATTTATGTGAAGTTCCAGATCTATCTTTCTCTTAATGGGTTTTCACACTTGGATTTGCTGATTGGAGGGCGAAGCATTTGTGTATTTTCTGTCTCCATTTAACTGTATTTTTAATTTTTATGACGACTTGAAGAATATCTAGGTTCATTTGATTTTTATCCAATCATTTCTTTAAAAGGGAAACTAAATTATGGTCTGATCCAGCGATAGGATCAAACAAAGGCTGGTGCTTTATCATGGGGTCATGCCCATTTACATGCAGTTTTCAAGTGATGCAGAAGAGACGTTCTCCAGAGCACTCGAGTTATTGCTGGTTAGTTTTCTTATTGTGTTACTTTGCTGTCTTTATTTCCTTGTGTTTTCGTTTATAGATCCTCAAGGATATAGTTTTAAATTTCCCACGTTTGCAGGATAAGGGTCACGTGGTAGATGGAGACCACGTTACGCTTGTACAAAGTGGAGCTCAACCAATATGGCGGAAAGAATCTATTCACCACATTCAAGTACGTAGGATCCTAGGTTGATTTTTCTGGTAAAAAGAGGCTTTTTTGTTTTGTTCTTTCTTTTTGGAGATTATTATGCTTATAAGTGATACTTTTGCAACATCGACTTGATTGATCTATTTATTAGACATTTCTTGTGATTGATAATATCTGGTGATTAGAGCACCGTCTGTTTATATATTTCCCATACCATGTTTATTAATCAAAGGCCACACTAGTCCATGGGCGTTGAATTGTTACTAGGTAGACATGCAACGAGATACAAAAACCCGCTCCCGTGGTACCAATTTCAAAAGACAGAGAAGAGGGTAATTCATTTCCATGCACAACTTGGTAGATTGAACAAAGATGGCTCAGTGATTGTGCATACTAGCTTTCCCATATAGAAAATGAAAAACAAAAGAGGAAAAGAAAAAAGAAGTCAAAGGCCTTTAATGAATAAAGCGAGGAAATTTACAAGGTGGGAACATGAAGGTCTTGCACAAGAAATCTGCCTGATCATTACATGCCACCCTTGCTCTTACAGTAACATGGCTTGAAATTATTTGGTTAGATGTCGTAAAACGAGGAAAGAATTGGGTACAAAGAGTTGAGCCAAGAATAGCTTTCCGACTCTTCAGGCCCCATTCCTTTTATTCTTACACAAACTCATAAAATATGCATCCAAGAAGAAGCTTGCTTTTGTGTATATTTCTTTAAATCAGACCTTGATGAGCTCCTGATCTTCATTTTCTTCACACTTGCCCTCCAATTTGATAGATTTGTACCATATAGCACAGAGAATATACACCCCAAAATCAATTACTGTCAATCCAGCTAAGAGGAAGTAAAATCTATCTAGATGACCTCTGTTCAGGTTTCCTGGAATCCATCCTGGCATGTGATCCTCTGTTGATATTTTCATAACCATAGTGACCAGAAGACTACTGACATAATTCCCCAAAGAGATTGATGTCATACAAAGTGCACTACCAAAGCTTTTTAATCCGTCGGGGGTTTGTGCATTGAAGAACTCCAATTGTCCCACGTACATGAAGACCTCGGAAGCTCCTATTAATGCATACTGTGGAACCTGCCAAAAGATGCTTAAGGAGCTTGAGCCTTCACAATGTGCGCAGTCGCCTTGGGCATACTTTAGCCTATAACACTCTACAATTCCTGCTGAAACCATTGCCATCACTGCTATGATGAGACCAATTCCCATTCTCTGAAGCTCTGTAATCCCTTTAGAATCTGATTTTTTGAGTTTTCCTGCAAGTGGGTCTAGGACTCGTCGGTAAAGGAAGATGAAAAATGCCACACTAAGAATGTCGAAGCTCGACATGCTTGCAGGTGGGATATGGAAGTTTGAAACAACAGTGTTCATGGCTGCGCCTTGCTCGACAAAGAGGGAAGCCATTTGAGTGAAGACCACGGAGTAGATTATGGTGCAGAGCCAGATAGGAAGTAGTCTTAAAATGCACTTGACCTCTTCCACTTGTGTGATGGGACACAGGCGCCATGGATTGTCAATGCCTCGTTCTTGGTTATCCAGATCTCTTGATGAGATATAGGCTGCCCTATCCAAAAACCTACAATATATAGAAGAACAAGCTTGACTGAGATGCAGACTATGATCTTTTTGTTGTGTTTTTAAATAAAAAAATTCTATGAGCGTGAAAGAAGTTCGCGAGAGACACAGACTTGTTTAAAGAAATGGAACTGAAATGTAAATGTCCTTACTTGAATCCATGGGTGTGAAGTATCTTTCTACCACGGTTTACTGAACAGTCCTTGGCATCAACATTGTAGAGTTCATCTTCACTTGGTGTCATCTTGACCGTTGATTTCTTAGCTGCAGCAGCAATGACTTGGCAGAATCTTGAGAGAGGGTTACCACTTGGTTTGAAGTGCCTGTACCTTGGAGTTCCACAAAGAAACAAAACCAAGGCTGCAAAAGCTGAGCCAGTTGACACCCAGAAGCCCAGAGCCCACAGTCCTCCATCTTCAAAGTACCCTAAAATGGTGTTTGAGAAGAGAGAGCCCAAGTTAAGAGCCAAGTAAAAGTAGCTAAAGAAGGCCACTTTTGAGTGCCCCTCTGTGGAGTCCTCTTCATCAAATTGGTCTGCTCCAAATGTGGCAATATTTGGTTGATATCCCCCGTTTCCTAGAGCAATAAGGTAAATGGAGAGGTAAAACAATGCATTCCCCAATTTTGAATTTGACTCGCATGGAGTGTCCTCATCCCCACAACCTTTTGGTTTGATAAGGAAGAGCTGTGATGTTATGGAAAGTGAAGCCAGGCCCTGCAATAAATAAAGGTGAGGAAGCAGTTAAAGAGAGAGGTTTCTATTAGTAGCAGGGAAATCTTTAAGGGTTTTAGTGTACTGTACGTACAATGACAAAGATGATCTGAAAAACGGCGCAAGTTTTGTACCTTCCCCAGTATGAATCACTGAGGAAAGCCCCTACAAGAGAGAAGATATAGACTGTCCCGGTCCATTTGCTCACACTGTTGGCAGCATCGGCATTGTTTTGCTGCATAACCCTTGTCAGGAACAGCACCAGGTTCACACCAACCCCAAAGAACGCAAGAGTTGCAAGTCCTTGATTCACTGCATTATTGTGAGAAGCAGCAAGTCAGGGTTGAACCAAATATGATGTTAGTTAGGTTCGTTCTTCATTTTATGGTGAATTCATGATAAATTTCTCCGTATAAGTCTGCTTTCCCTAATGGTTGGCTTTTCTCATCACATTGTTGTCTAGTAAAGAGCTGAAAGTGCTTTGGGAAGTGAAAGGACAAGTTATGAAAGGACAAGTTAGACAGACCAGATTTCAATTCAGACCCACATTAGATTCCATTTTCGTAGTGTTTGAAGATTGGTGGGAGTCCCTGTCTTAAATGATCCTAGTTTATAAGGAGGGAATATATCTCCATTCCAGAGGCCTTTTAGGGAAGTCCAAAGTAAATTCACGAGAACTTATGTTCAAAACGGACAATACCGTACCATTATAGAGATCCGTGATTCTTAACCGACCTCATAAGAATCTCAAGTGGACTCTCTACAAATCCTAGATTGGTATGGCCTGGTGTGTGCATGATAGGAAGGGAAGCTTGTTACACTCCTCTCTCTCCCCAATAAGACCAATAAAAATGGTATATGCGGACAGTAAAAGAGCAAGTCCATCGTGAATTTCACTATTAGATGGCTTTTAGACCCTTGCTTTGCTTGAAGGAAAAGGTCTTTCCTCTTTGGTAAGTTCCACCAAAAGGAGTCGTGTTTCTATAATCTCCTGTTCCCATTAACATCCAGCTTGCGAGACATTTTCCTTCGTTGATAATGGAGGAATGTTAAGCAACATGCGATACATTTTCTTCCTTTCCATTACTTGTAGAAGAATATTTGTGATGTCAGAGTTTCTTATGAGCTTTAAATTCAAACAAAGTTATGGATGCTATTATAGTACTCTACCTTGAGTTCTCTGCTATACCTCTAATGGCTTCTCTGAAAAAAATTCTCTAGAACTTAGTATTATGATATACTTTCAAGTCCTTTTCTGTAGATTTTTAAAAAGCAATTGGTAAGGAGGCAGAAAAAAAGAAAGGGGAAGTAGAACAAAAATTAAATGTACAGATGTGGAGCTCAGGGCCATCAACTTAGACTACTAAAATTATTGTGTGATTCTTCTAGGTAATTGAAACAACGCGTGGAATATCCACGTCATGCCATGTCCAAATAGTTAATTACGTGTCTGACACGTCTCTGCTTGATGTATGCATTAATCATGGTCTCTCTTTCTCTTTCTCTCTCTCTCTCTTTGGCAGACTGGGAGAAAAAAAATAAAAAATTTAGAGGTGTGGAGTTCTGGGTCATCAACTGAGACTAATTAAATTTCACGTGTAATTCTTCTTGGTAATTGAAACGACACGTGGAAAATCCACGTCATGCCATGTCAAAATGGTTGATTACGTGTCTGACACTTCTATGGTTGATGCATGCATTTACCCCATCTCTCTCCGTAAATACCCCTCTCTCTCTCCCTGTAAAAGTGAATAGAGGGAGGCTGCTGATAATCGGCGTAGGTTTATGAGTAAGGAATGAATTCCTATGAGTAGGTTTATGAGTAAAGAATACACCTCTATATCTGTATGAAGTTTTTTTTCGGAAGTCCAAATTAAAGCAATTAGAGCTTATACTTAAAATAGACTGTATTATATTATTGTAGAGATTCGTGATTTCTATGGGTAATATACCGTCTTTCTTTTTTTCTCAGCTATTACGGTTATTCTCCCCCTACTTGCTCATTTGTCGTCCATCTCCCATGGAGTCAATGAGGCAAGAAAAGCACAGTTCTTAAGAAAACTCTCTCTCTTGTCGTCCAGCTCCCATGGAGTCAATGGGGCAAGAAAGCACAGTCCTTAAGAAATCTCCCTCTCTTGTCGTCCAGCTCCCATGGAGTGAATGCGACAATAAATCATAGTTCTTGATAAATCTCTCACATCATTTTTGGTTTCTTGCCCCCTCCCCTCTCTCTCTAAGCTAGTGTCAATTTGGGCTGGCTTGAATTAGGTGGAGGAGAGAGTAGCATGCAAGGAGGCTCCAACACTTGGCTCGCTGTGTGGTGCCAAATGTAAGGCAATAAACCCATCCTTATTTCTCTCATTTTCTGTTCTTTTCTGTATTTATTAAAATCAGTGAGAAGCTGTTTCACATCTCTAGTATGAACCTCCACTTATCTTTTCCAAATCCAAACAAAACATTAACAACTATTTCTCTTTCCCTCTTAACACCCCACCAAAACTTCTCGATTTTTCTGAAACCACTTCCTACATATCACTATAAGCTCTGCACTTTCTGCTTCTTCCTCTTCTTCTCTCTCTCTCTCTCTCTATAAGCTAATGAAGAAAACAAGTAGGAGATAGAATCTTGGTTGAACTGCTCAATGTTGAAAATGTACCAACAGAAGCTTATAGAGAAATAAGTTGGTTTATGGGTCATTTTGGGTGTGTAAGAGAGAGAGAGAGAGATAGAGCTTGAATTAGAGAGAGATGGTAATATGGTCTTACAGAGTATGATGATCCCAGCAACCCATCCACCAGATTTTGATTTGATTGCAGGTTGGCCATGCCAATCAACGGTCCCATCAAGAGTACAAACATCCCTCTCTTTTGTCTCACCATCCTTCAAATTCTGTACCCATAAAACAAAATTCACTGTGAAATGTGCTTCTTCTTGTTCTTCTTCATATTCAAAACTTTAAACACAGAGAGAGAGACAGAGCAAAGAAAAGAAAAGTTGGTTTCATTTGATACTGACCTCATTACAAATCATCCCCAAGCAAGCCATTGATGAATGATGTTTGATGGAAGTAAGTATAGGAAGAGAGCAAAGCAGAGGAGGAAGTTTGTGAAGTAATGTAATGCTGACGAGAAAAGACACAAGTCTTGAGACTCTAAACAAAATAGGAAGTGTGTATAAATAGACAAGGGAAGAATGGGTTGAACGGTAGAGATTTAGAGAGAGAATTGTGGGGTCATCCAAATGTCCAAAAACCCTTTATTTTTTTCCTCTTCTTTTTACAGGATTGATCACTCCCTTTGAGATGCAGTGAACTTTGATTAATCTATTCTTTTGGCCTCCTAAGGATTCCAAACAACAAACATTATAGGGATTTTGTTTTTAAATGTTTTATGCTTGATAGAAAGAGATCTGACATAGATTCTTTTGATTAGTATTGTTTTTAATTAATGTTACCCTTTGTACCATTCACTATGCATCACTTAGTGCCCATATATTTTTTTGACATCGACAGCATAGAAACCAAGTAATTATTGTTTGATTTGGCTGCAGGCATATAGTTAAAATCTTTTTTAACTTCTTTCTGTAAATATGTCGTAGTTGTGACTGCTACATTGGCTACTGTGACTAATTACTTGGATTAGATGATCATGTCCCAAAATGTAGTTAGGTTAGATAATCACAGCTCTCTCATAAGCTTGAAGCTTGTAAATTGGCTGGAGAGAACACATTATGTAGGATGAAACTTGAGATAGCTGTGTTGGGATTTTACTAGTTTCTTCAAAGGATATCCTTTGCAATCAAGATTGGATACTCCCTTTAATAAGATATAGGGAATGTGAAACTTTATTATATTCCTATACATTATCTAAGATCAAACTTGAGCTTGCTCTCTCCAAACTTGGTTTATTTAGACTTATCTATTTTAAAGATATGGTCCATTTTGGTCTGTTCCATATCGCTATCAACTTCACAATTTTTAAAATTTGTCTACTAGGGGGAGGTTTTCGTACCCTTATAAGGAATGCTTCATTCCCCTCTTTAACTTATGCGGGATCTCACAATTTACCTCCTAGACCAGCGAGTACACCGTTCGGTATTTGGCTCTGATACCGTTTGTAACAATTCAAGTCCGCTGCTAGCAGATATTGTACGCTTTGGCTCATTATATATCACTGTTAGCCTCACTGCTTTTAAAACGCGTCTATAGGGAGAGATCTCTACACCCTTATTAGGAATGTTTCGTTCTCCTCTCCAACCGATGTGTTATCACATAATCCATCCCTCTTGGGAGCCCAGCAAACACACTGTTCGGTGTCTGGCTCTAATACCACTTGTAATAGTCCAAGCCTACCGCTTGTAGATATTGTTTGCTTTAGTCCATTGTGTATTGCTGTCAGCTTCACGATTTTTAACACACGTCACTAGGGAGAGATTTCTACACCTTTATAAGAAATATTTTGTTCTCCTCACCAATCGATGTAAGATCTCACAAATATAAATGATTGGATGAAAATGTGATACAACTGTTGAAAGAATAAATTCAAATGAAGTGCCCGAACTTATCATTCGAAGTTATTAAAACAAATGGATTGATATGGTAGTGATTCGATTCACAAAATTTTGGAAGAATAATTAGTTCCATTATTATTAAAAGAGTATTATACACACGAGTTACTTGTGAATATTATTGTATCTATTTGCGTTAACTGGTCAAAGTATACCTTCGAATTTAAGGTCCGAGATTTTAATCTTCCACCGGTATATATATAGTTTGACTAATATATATATATATATATATATATATATATATATATTAAGTAATTGATGGGATCCTTTTACAGTGTTATCAAAGGTTATAAACCGAGTATATTTTGTTTTATGTTGGTGTGTACAATGTTTGATTGTTGTTTTGGATATACATCATTTTGATGCCAATTTAGAAGTTGCTTTCACGTTAAGCCCCATGTTTTTGGCAATAATTTATGCCAAATTTTATCCCAAAAAGGAAAAAAAAACTTAAAAGTTTGCATTTACTCATTTGAGCTGATTACGTCAAATTTCTGTCTCTCATGCTATAGATGCAGCTAGAACATATTTTCTATTGTACATCAATTAATTTGTGCCCTCAAATTTCTTGTGTATGAACACGTTTGTGCCGTCTTCATCTAGTATTACATAAATTGAAAACAGATATGTATATCAATTCCCGATAAAGATCTCAAACCTTTAGTATAGGAATGAATATATGTCGATTATATTTCAAACCGTGCAAGATAGCGATGGTCAGTTGTTGCTTGTCTCACGACTTTCTAACTTCATGGAAACCCAACAATAAGTTGAAACGAAAACGATATGTTCTTAGTTTAGTTGTTAGGTCAATAACTTGTTTCCTAATGATATTATGTAAGATGGCGATGCGGTATTAGTTTTTGTCGAGTGAAAAAGTTGAAATAGAAAAGAGAAGAGTTAAATGGAAAGACCTAGGTGAGATGAGATTAAACGAGTAATAACTTTAGTGAACCTATAAATGAATTGTCCATCGATTTCATTTTCCGAATTACTTGGGTCTAAAGCTATTTGGTGGAGAACGTTTCAAACAATTTCCTATTCAAACAATGAAACTCGAGAGAGTATTCAACAATGTCTCTTTTTGCTAGCTTTAAAAACATGCCATGCCTTTTTCTTATAAAAATTGATAGATCTCCAATTTTGGCTAAATATCTACTACAAAGAAAATGACACACTTTGATCGATCGATGTTGGATTAAGCTCATCCCGTTAATAATCAATGACTACATCAATGGTGCACGTATTGGTGTTGCTATATTTGAAAAATGTTATTTAATCATTTGCAAATAAAATTGAATTGGAGAACAAAAGGGAAAAAAAAGTTGATATCTATTACAAAGTTAAGATTCGATAAGAACAAGTTTGTTGAGATATAATATTCGAAGAATATATTATAATTAATATATCTTACCGTTAATATTATTTCTTTTATGATTTGATTAGTAGTATATTTTATTTTATTATCAATATTTGTAGGTATTAGTTGATAGCTTGTATCCTATTTAAACATTATGAATATCAATGAAGAATACACCTTCGATCCCAATTCTATTTCTCATTCTTAACAAAGTTACTTAAGGATCGTCCGTAACGACTTCTTAACCGTCTAAAAAATAGGTAATAAAAAACTAAACGAATTCTTTATATTATTTTCATATTCATAATATTTTCTTATCCAACCTTTTCTTTTATACTTTAATAGAAACCACAAGAGTGAGATCCAGCCAGCCACACTCACAATCAAACCTAAAAGTTGAAAAAGAAGCAAAATAATAATAATAATAATAAAGAACTGAAATAATTACATATAAAAAAAAAAAAACCATAAAATTAGGCCAATCCAAACATTTATGACCATCCAGAAAGAAAAAACAAAGTCCAAAAAGAATGGTTAGTGCATATTTGGAAGCCTATCTATGCTTCAAAGGGTGTTTTTGTGAGCTGAAGTAGAATCATTGGTGCAAGGTGGCTCATAAATCAATTCAATATATTCTATACAGATTTGACCTAAAATTTTAAAGGTACGTAGGGATCGAAGATTTTACCCAACCAATAGTGAAATCGTACAAATATTGCTCCTTTACAAAGAAGATAGTGGCCGTGTGCAAGTATATGATGAGTATTACATAGAACAATACTTATTATCGAGACTATTCTAGTGACCCCTTCTCACACTGGTGTGCACGCGTGCATGTGTATACCCACACCCATATCTTCACATGCGTACTGAAACAGTCAAAACCCATCGCTAACCGATATTATTCTTTTTGGGTTTCTCCTCAGTTTTAAAACGGTCTGTTAGAGAGAGGTTTCCACACCCTTATAAAGATTGCTTCGTTCTCCTCTCCAACCGGTATGAGATCTCACACATATACATGACCGTCAAATTTAAGCTTACAGATTAGAGGTTAACTCAGACATAACCCAGTAGATAAACGTTCATGTTTTGCATTAAAGCATTAAACTTGAAGGGTTTTAATCCAAAATTGGCTATAAAAGAAAATGGAAGATTGTTATTCCACAAGGGAATACAACTGTTAGGCATGATACCAACATGTAACTAAAAAGTGTGGGAAAGGCAAAGATCATTGTGTTGATCAACGTTGATATTTAATAAAAGCTCTCCCACTTCAAT